GCGGGTCACGGCACCGGTCGCCGGAGCATACGTTCTCCTAGGGTAATCTGTATGAGTGCCGTCCGCGCGATACACATCTCCCGGATTCTCTTATCGATCTCCTTTCGATCGTGTATCGTCGAGAATTGGAACTCGCGTTAATGTAGTTCCTCTTCTACGCGTTTTCCAGCATCTTCACTCCAGTTCGGACAACATTCCGTAATCATTAACGCAGCCTCTGACCTTTAAATCGGTCGTAGGTCGAGGGTCATTGGTATCAGTCGTGTTTGTGAGCGCGTCGAAAAATCGATGCAGCTCGGTGGTGCAGCGGCCGCGGCAACACGTCGTAATGTGACGCGCGCCGCGAGGCTACCATGGGTAAAACATCAACGTCAACGACGACGTCGCCATCGTCATCTTCGTCGTCGTCGTCGTCGTTTTCGTCGTCCACGTTGTCGTCGCCGATCGCCCGCTCGTCCGACACGATCCACCGCGTGGTCGTCGACTCGCTTCCATCGTCCGACTCCGTCACTCCTTCCGTCCTTCTCTCACAATCAACCGATCCTTCCGTTCTTCGTTCGCAGGCGCGTTTTTTCGTTTTTCGCGGGCACTTGTTTGCGACGAGCGCGCGACGACGGCGGGGCCGCGTGGTTACGCGAGTTCAGGCGAAACCGAACTAGCACCGGTGCACGTCCGGGACGACCGCGTGGGTTGATATTCAACCCTGCACCGCCAGCAGCAACCGTTCCAAACCCCCCTCCCCTCCCCCCTTCCCCCGGTCCCTCTCTCTCCTTTCTCTGTCTCTCTTGGACTTGGCTTCCTCGCTAGCTAGCGACTCCGTCGTCGCGCCACCCACGACTCAACCTCTGCCCTCACGCCGGCATCCACCCTCCCCCTGCCTCCTTTTCTCGTCTATCATTTGAAAGCTGCCATAAAGACACAATAAGAAGACGGGCGCGTGAAGATCGCTTGCTACATCGCAATGTAACGTATTGTTGTTATAATTGAATAAAGGGGTGGGGAGACAAAAACAGAGAGAGAGGGAGAGGAAGCGCGCGAACGAGAAACGTGCGGGATAAGCGCGTGCGCGTAGCGGGAAATCGGGGGACTGAATGAAGAGCGTGAATGGTGGTTGCAATATACGTCGAAGGGTTGATGATTGAAACATAGGAGATTACACATTATCGCGCGTTCGAGAAAAATTATATATTAATGAATAACAAATACATCACAATTTATTTCTTATCCAAGTATGAGATAAGAAGCATATAGATGTGTTTATAGACCACATAGATATATTTTTTAAAATTATAAGTGGAAGAGGAAGAAATCTTTGCTTGAAGAAAATACGTAATCAGAGACTAATCAGAGAATTCATTACAAATGGAGAGATTCTCGTACGCTCTTAAATAGACTAGTCTTCAATGGATCAAATTATAAAATGATTAAAATAGCGGAATTAATCACTACTTATTCTTTTCTCTGTTAATTAGTGTATTATTCGAAGATGATTTACTGCCGACCAAAATTATTAGTATCGAATATTATATAATTATAATAGTGTTCGCGCTTATTAGGATTTTTTCACAGTTATTTTTATTGTACCAATTTTAAAAAGCATTTATTATTGCGGGATATTTCATATTTCATGCATATCGTTTTCAAGATATTTAATTTTGGTTGTGCGAAATTTTATGTATTCTGAGTAATTATTCCACTTGTGCAAGTTAATTTTAGACTCCATACAATAAAATGCCAACAAAATTTCGATTATGACGTACGTACATCGTATTAACATGCGCGATACATAGTGAATAATGAAGACTGTAAAATGTAAAAGGTCGAATGTAAGGTAATATGCAGCAAAGCTGACATCGAAAATGCAAACCGTTAAGGTAGAATTATTATATTTTGCAAAAGGAACAGCAAAATCGATCGTGTATTTAATTCTGTCGCGATAGTTATCGACTTCTAATTGTGCGATCAAATATATTGTCGCAAAATACAATTAAAACATGATTATAAAGTTTAAATTAAATCATGTAAAAAATCATGTAGAAACTTATCGAAAACTAATTTAAGAATATATTTCATAGCGAAACATTTGTGCGGAATTAAATTTTCTTTAGCAAACGTATCCAATTATTTGTCAGAAATGAAACTGATTCTTTAATTAATTTTTTGAAATTAAATATGGCCAAAGATATAATAATAACATAGATATTAATTTATATAGAAAAATGAAAATACTAATACAATTAAAAAATATCGTTAAGAGTTAATAATTTCCTTTAATACAAAGTGATGTACGCACGTGTACGTACTCGCACATTTCCGTAATAGTGTAACGATATTTTTTATACGCTTCATAAAGTGGAAAGATTAATTGCGTCGTCTACAACTAGAGCGATATTTCATTCGCCGTAATTGTTGGTTGTAAAAATCAACAATATTGCGCCTGTATCAAATCCCGTTCCTCTATTACTGGGTGGTAAATAATCGTTATGCTTGAGCATTGGTCAATTTTACATCTCGTTCCAAGTAATCTCAATATATATGAAAAGACCAGTGCATCATAATTTGCTCGACAATGATATATGATCCTTTCCCGTGACGCGATTACGTCAACCATTAGAATCGAATCTAGTTCCCAGGCATTATCTTGTCTCTAGTCGATGTTTAACGACTATTTATAGTCGTGTTTTTGCTGAAAAACTCGGCTGAAAACGGTCTTAAGACGTGATATGATTCAACAAATAGATCTTAAAGGTCAATTTTATATTCATTATGTTGTATCTGCAATTGAGATTCAATTGAAGGTTTTACAATTAGGGAATTTGTTTTGAGACACAGATCGAGTTTTGTTTCTTGTAGTTCGATAATCGATTCCAGGGAAAAATCATATATAATTGTTTTTTTAATGATACTTTTTATGAGTTTTTTAATAATATTTTTCCGAGGTAACGTAGAACAAAATGGTTACTCTTAAAGAAATCTGAAAAATCTGACTTGAGATTTAAGGATAATTTTTTAAAGCATTAAAATTAAGAATTATAAATTACTCTAAAGATTATTCAAATTATCATTAAAAGAAAGGAATAATTTGCGTGTGTTAATAGTAATACACATTTACATATGTATCAATCAAATTGAAATACTTTGAAATTTTTTCATTAATTAGAATTCAAATAACAGTATTTGCATTTCGAAACGTCTTCTCATTGTCAGTTAAATAATTGTTAGACGGCGCTAATATGTTTGCAAAACAAAGCGCAAAATGTCTGATAATAGATCACGTATTGAAATTAAGTTAAAAAATAACGAACAGAATATTGATTGTATATTTATATATCATAGTATGTTAATTTTTCATAATAGACTGGTTAATGTGCAGCCTTACTGCTTGTATGGTAAGCAAGGTCGTTTTGTCATTTGCGCGAAGAGACTCAAATCGGCAGGTAGCGACGCGTGTCCACCACGTGTGTCGTATATTACTCATCGAAATGCGATCGAGTGAAATACTAGAAGAACGCGAAACGCGATTATTTCCTACAATTGATACAATTAGTTACCGGCCTGCGCGATAAATTAACATCCACGATTAACGGCTGCATGTATTGCGTATTTATCGACGCAAGTATTTCGCGTAATTTCATTCAACTGTAAAGGACGGTAATTATGGATTATAAGTATTGTTTTATCGCGATATTCGCACGTAGGCGATAATGATCTTTTTAACGCTTAGATTCGAAGTAGCTTGTATCGCGCTTTAAATTTCTCGCCAAGTTAAACGTAATTTGCTCATATTACTTTCGGATTGAGAGCGCGCCGTAATATGCGAATCGTTGGATCGAAATAATGGAAAATGCGTTATCGATTGTTTGTTAATACGTTTATCTCATTGAATTAATTTGGAACATATTATGCGTGCAATATTGAGTTTCGATTACATATTTTCGAATGATTGCATCAATTGCATATCATAAATTCGGTCTTTGCACGTCATTCGTGAGTCGTCGAAAGCCATTTGAGATTTCGTTCGTAGTTGTTGCACTAATTTGCGAAATACCGAGCGAAAATCGAGCGAATCATAGAGTTTCATACTTTTTTTCACGTTTTTCTTTCGAAATGTACAATAGTGAAGTTAATCGTGCATTTTTATTAAAAGATTGAAAATGCCGTGCGTTTGTTTTATTCTGATGATTAATACGTGTGATTGTAATTAACGATGTTTTCGCGAGGCAAGAGGCTATCGCGGAATGACTATAGGATGAATAAATTATTATTTTTTATTTCATTGATTACTTGTTTTTACTTTACTAGAATTAATTATTTATTAAATATTTATATGTATGCTATAATTCTTTTAAATATTAATTATTCTGGATGTTACTATAATATAATTTACGTATATATTTTCGTTTTACAGTTCCACCGTGGTTTCAATGTAAACTGTCGCTGCGCATCGTATCGGTGAGTGATGTATTATTTTTTATTTTAAAGTAATATATTTTTATTTAAAGTAATAAATCTGCTTACATGAAAAAAAATTATAGCATATACGAATAAATGCTCATATAACAAGTTTAAAAAAATTACTTTGCGATCAGCGATTTATTACTTTGAAATAGATAAGATAGAATAGATTAATATAGAAATAGGTGTATAAACTTGGAATTATTATAAATGTTTAATTTATTATAATTAATTGCATTTACATTGATTGCCTGTCTTTTTCTTTTTGCTTTATTACGAGCGGTTGCTGTAAATCGAGATATTTTATATTACCTATAAGCTGAATATACACAATGGGGTTAAATAAAACGTGATGAGAGATAATAATAACGCTGCGACATATTGTAAATGTATGAAAGGCTTCGCTACGAGGTACTCTTGCGGAAAAATTTTTTACGTCCGGCATTTTCTGCGGTAGAGTTGATGTTAATTTTATTTAATGTTAATTCAACACGAATGTGGGACTTTAATTCGATATTATAACATATTTCCGAGACGTTTCTTACCGTCGCTACTACATCGGGAGTCGACCTTTCTCCTTTTCAACTTGAGGTCTTGAAACAAGCTCATGTTTTCTATCTCACACGGGCTGCTCGGAAGGGTCATAATTCCTGAAAGCAGAAAATGACAAGAATCAGTTTTGTTATTTGTTAAATAAATTATTTATAACCGAAATCGGCTTGCATAATTTATTTCTAAATGATACTGTCTTTGTGAAAATATTTAAAGTATTAGATTGAAATATATCCTTATTTCCATATTTGAATAAATTTTTGTGCTATACGATAATGATTTTTATATTTGTTTCGTAATGAGATTTGAGATTTAACTTTTATTTAGGAGATAATCAGGAGATGAATAATTCATTTCTCTCTTGTATAACTGAACGAATCTGTGCGAAATATAAAATTGAAATTATTTAGTTAATCATTCTTAACGTTAAATCACGAGTAAACTTCAATTTCCTATCACAGATGAACTATTCGATAAAAAAAATTGAAAAATATAAAAATATTTTATATTTTACTCTATATATTACGTTTTACAAAAGCATTGATCTTCTCCTATTTCTCAATGTAATTTTCTTAATATAAAGCTCGATTTCACGAGCTCGACGCTATATCGTGAACCGTGATTCGAGTAACCATGAAAAAAAATTTCGCAGAATCGTTTATTTTACATTTTACATTTTCTGCCGCGGATTTCGCCCTTCTATCAATTCGTTTCTTCTCGTCGGATGTAATCATCCGGGGAGTCATCTCGCGCGTATGTGAGCGAGTGATCGGCTACTTGCGGGATCGGGAACTGTCCGCGGACGTGAAAGTACGTGTGCGCGTACGAACGCACGCGTTCGCGACGATTACGGCGAACGCATAGCTCGCCATTAACCCCGCTTTAGCCGGCAATAACGTACAATTGGATCGGTCGCATGGCGATACATGTATCGTTTTAAACCGCGACACGAAACCGACGTCTTCGTTTTACGGGGTTCTCGGGGGATCCCCGTTGCCGCGCCGTACAATGTACCGTATAATGAAATAATTAGAGGCGGACCCCGGCAGAGAGAGAAAAAAAGAGAGAGGGAGAGAGAATGGTCCCCGTTCTTCGTTCGCTGACGCAGCGATGCTCCCGCGAGATCGGCGCTTGTACAGGCGCGCGTTTTACGAGCGCGCCCGTCTCGATCTGGCGCTAGACTAGAGACTAGATCTATACGAGAGACGACCGCGATGAAACGGGGAGGGAGGGGTCATTTTAATAATGCGACGCCGGCGATAATAACAAATCGCGCTTGCATTATCGCGGCTCGCGGGGCCGCCGGAGACGGCGAACAATTTGCGCCGACGACGTACGGGCCGGAGGGATCGGGCGTCTAAGCGATTTTACGACAGCGCCCCGACCTAACTGCCCGCGCGCGGGTCGTTTTAATAAGGGCGATGATGCACGCGTCAATCGTGCAAATTTTTATGCGCCGCTTCGTTTGTCTCTTCGTTCTGAGAAACGTGCGCACTGGCGCTCATATTGTTGCAACAATGTTTACGCCTTGCGATACATTTTTTTTTTTTTGGAACTCTGCGTCTTATCGTAATTTTTCCCTCTTTCTTTTTTGTTTTAAATATTATACATGCGTACTCGTTTAAAATGCAAATATAACATGCCAAAATGGACATAATGTGACAGAACGTCACAATGTTCGTTTTCATGTTTTCGTAAAATAACTTTGTATATTTATAGAGGGGAATAGTTTTTGAAATGCAAGGCTTGAATACAAATATTTTTTACTAGTTTGAAATGAAGTGCTTAATTTGAAGTAATAAAATATCTTAATTTTTCGAACAAAATATAACAATATCGAGGATTAATCCATAATGTTCCTTTCCAAACAGTAATTTTTCTATTCTAAAAAAATGTATTTAAAGTTATAAATAAATCTATATTTATATCTATTTTCTAAAAAAAGAATATACAATTTCTGTATAGTAAAATAAAATTGGTATAATAAAAAAAATATACACCGATGTGTTTTTCGTTCATATCGCGTTTTACGTCAAATACGATTTGTTATCCGCATAAAATTAATATTTTACACAAAGACATTCATTAGAAAAAAGACATTAATCGACGATTCTGCGATAAACCTCACGCTGCCCTGCAATAAAAATAATTTTTTGAGAATAAGATATACCGCTTGCAAATTACTTAGTGCGAGTTGTCTCCAATTAAACGTTTAAAGTACCAGATTCAAGCATCTCCGGAATTTACTCGGACGGAAGTTGGACGTGATATACCTATCTTCACTAACGATCTCGTTGAAGTAACTTACGCTTTAGAGACAGAAGCAACGCGCGTCTCATGCTAATTGAGTAACAAAATGACAGTAACAAAATATTATTCGAGAAATCTTGAACGAAAGTTCACACGCAAATCCCCGCCGTCATGCGTTGTGACGTGTGCAGCCAAATTTTACATTCGATTAGCATTTGAATTTCAAACGCATGAGTTTCCTCGTAGAACTTTGCGCATCGCTCATAACATCGCCACTATCGTTTACCATGATAATACTGCTCGACATTTCGATAAATCGGTAAACTCTTATTTTATTTAATGCAAATTTCCTTGTACACGCGTGCATTTCTTCTACAACAAATCTTAATTGCGTTTTTCGTAAATGTTTATAGCGTTATCACAGATGCATTTATATTGCGGAGCGCTTGTTTGCCGAAGTGAAGGTGCTTCTTGGAAGAGAAGTTCATCAAAGCAGACACTTCGTATACGAGGCTTTCTATTTGTTTTCAGCGCGCAAACTTTGTTCAACTAATCTGAGTGACATTAATATTCCGTAACATTGTCTGTCTCCATTTCAAAAGTTGTTTATTCTAGCATGCCGTAGAACTTCTTGCCAGGCTAACTCCTACGCCCGCTCGATCGCAGTCTTAACTGCAAGAAGTAGCTGTACTTACAAGCGAGCTTCATGTTTAATTAACATCATCCAATCGCAAATCGTCCAATAGTCTAGTTAGTTTCTTATTCATAAGTTGTTATTGTATATTTAAAGTTTCTTTGTTACTTTATATATACAGTAATTTGACGTAAATGATTTTCCAGCGTTATTAAACGGCTGCCGTTGGAAATATCAATTTGCTTGGAGATATTTCTCGGTTATATATTCCGCAAAAATGTGGAAAATATTATTATTTAAAAATCTTGAAAATTAAGTTGAGTTCTTTGTTACTTTACACAGTAATTCGACATAATTGATTTTCTAGCGTTATTAAACGGCTACTGTTGTTCGAAATCAATTATATCGAGATATATTCCTCAAAAATGTGGGAAAATACTGTTATTTATAAAACTCTTCTTAAAATTAATTAAAAAGATTTATCTGAATACGAAAAACTAAAAGATTTATGAAATTAGAAAAAATGTATTTAAAGCCACAGAGTAAATCAGTTTTAAAAATAAAGATAAATCACATAAATAGGCTTGATAGAAGCCTGTTTAGCAATCGAGTCAATAAAAATAAATATTCTAAAGGGACAAAATTTTCGAGCATCAAGGATTTTCGAACAGTCAAGCATCGGTCAGCCGCGTAAGTGATGTGAACGACGCTTAATCAGCCGGGCGCGCAGGCGAACGCGTGCGTCGGTACACGTGCACGACGCTAGATGGCACGTTGCGGCAACGAGCGAGAGGCAACGGAGCGCATCCACGATCCACGTTGCTGCGAGGCACGCATGTGCACGTCGGAGGGGGAGGCGCGCGCGCGCGCGACATCACATACACGTATGTATGCGCGCTCGGTCGGCTATACGGCGCGGTACAGCGCGGGGTCCTTGCTCCCTGCCGTATGTGGGTCAGCAGTCTCTCACACACGCCGCTATTCTTGCGTAACCAATGCATGCATACGGCCGCCGCGCCGCGCGGACGAGCGCGCTCGTGCACGCGCGCCCGCTCGCGCGGGAGACCGCGACGCGACTATACGTTGCGCACACCGAGACGGAAAGTGCAGCCAATGCACTAACCTACGACGGTCTCCTCTTGAGAGAGGCCGCCCGGCCCGGTGCTCGTACGTACGCAAATGTACATGCGTGTGTGTTCGCTTTGCAGCGAGTTGCAAGAGCGCGGCCGTCGGGCGCAAAGCCACGCAAGCTCGTCTATCTCGGGCTCGAGCTTTTTTTTTGAGTTTCGTACTACTAGTACACTTCGCGGTATTTTCTCCGTGCGTTCGCGTGAAATTCCACGTATACGAATCGTTTCGTGTTTCCCTGCGGCAGATCTAACGGTACTCTCTAATGGACTCTACACTCCTTTGTGTAACGTTTTCGAAAAAATTCTTACAGAATTAATTGATATATACATATATATATGTAACGCAATCACTATCATAATGTATGAAACAATTTTGTACAATTCTCGGAATTTTATTTTTTCATAATATAGATAATATAATTTGATTTTTTTTAATGTTGAAAAAAGATATTTATTATTAGTTTAAAGGTTAAAACGATTATTCTTAAATTATTTTAACGGAAACGTTAACTAAAAGTTGTGGGATATATATGTACCGGCTTGCAATACAATTGTTGAATTTTTCAAGAAATACATGTATGTTTGATATATATGTATGTAATGAATGTATCTTTATTGTTTTTAAAATTGCGACGATCATAAACGCGAATGTGAAGAGAATATGGCGGAAATTTATGCTTATGTCATATTTTATAGGAAGTTTATTAACACCTTTCACGCGCGTGTCGTTGTTAGCCTTCCGTGTTTATATTCTTCGCGATCGAAAAGGTTACAACTTTCTACTTTTCAAAAACTGTTAACCTCGTCTATAATCTGGCTAATTTTATAGAATGTTATATTATATGACATGCATAATTATGTTAATTAATTAGAATCTCATAAAAATTCTCAATCAATTAAAATGTCAATAATCGAGTCATTTTTTTTTATTAAATTATTCGATATAAGCAAAATCTTTTCGTCTAACAAAGATCTATTATTGAAATATTAAAATGTTTAACATATGCAAAAATATCATCACTTTTCACGCAAACTGATCGCTATTACAAACTGTATCGCGTCTAAATCTAATCATTATCGTGTG